AATTTTGTGATTTGCGTAAATGCCAACCAGCTGTTTTTGATCAGCTGTTTTCCTGTTGGTAAATTGCTGTTGGCAAAAATTTTTCCAGCAGAAACCAGCAGCTCCCCTCAACATGAAATGTCACTTTGCTCTCTCAATTTCCCCTTATTGGTTAAACATGAACAATTAACAGCTACGCGAACGCAACTAATAAAAACCCACAAACAGTTTCGTTATTAGTTTAAATTTCGTAAAGCAACATGCGATCAGCTGTTTTTCGTACTGGCAAATTCTTACAAGTAAAAATTTATCCACTAAAATCCAGTAAAATCTTGCAACTTCAACTGTAATTTTTCTCGCTCTCTCAATTTCCCCTACTTTGCAAGTTTTTGCTGACGAAAACGCCAAAACATGAAAATTCGTAAAAACTTTTACTGGATTTTACTGGAAATGAGTAAAAAAAAACGCAACAAATGACTTGAAATTTTGCTTTCAACTAGACTTAATCGTAATGTTGATAGGTAACTCATACGCCATGGCCTATGAACGATAAACGTTTTCTCTCGCGCACCCATCCTCACGGAAATGAGGTTTTTGACTGGCTGTAGATATTTCATCTAGTTACAATATGTATTACGAATGTGCTTTCAAAAGGGCAAAAATGCAATTTCAACATGGGTTGGAAGTACNAAATGACTTGAAATTTTGCTTTCAACTAGACTTAATCGTAATGTTGATAGGTAACTCACACGCCATGGCATATGAACGATAAACGTTTTCTCTCGCGCACCCATCCTCACGGAAATGAGGTTTTTGACTGGCTGTAGATATTTCATCTAGTTACAATATGTATTACGAATGTGCTTTCAAAAGGGCAAAAATGCAATTTCAACATGGGTTGGAAGTACTTTAAGACCATAAGAATTGGCAGGCAACCTTGAATTCATTTTCTATATACATACATACATATACTGTAAATAAAATTCTATCCAAATCTCAAGTCATCTGAATTATGTTGAGTAATCGATTTATATTGACATCTCTAATAGATAAAAACGCATAGTCAAGACCGCTGTCTGCAGCCAGAACTCCTGATTTGGATTCATATATTAATAAGCTAAGCACACAAAAAATTTCATTCGATCTGAAGTATTAAGGGTTTTTAGGTCATGAAATAATATTTCTAAAATTTTCATGCATACATATGTATGTATTTAAAAAATTAAAATTTAGACGTATTGGACTGCCGAAATGCATACTTGATGCAACTGATTAAGTGGAAAAAATATATACATTTTTTTTTCAATTATTGCTTTCAAATAACATCACTTTTTCGAACGTTTTCTGGATACGAAAACTAGTGAAAATTTAAGTCGTTATCTGCTCATTTCCGGGTAGGAAAATCGCATTGTTTTTAACGTTTTTGGATGCCTAAATGGATGGAAATTGTATTATTTTTCCGTTCGCTTCCGGATACATCAAATTGTACGAGACCGCACTGTCGATAAAATTGACGTTGTATTGCTGTTGGAATTGCGTTTGCAAATTTTATGCTTTCTGCCTTGGCAACCGCGTACATTTTGTTGTGGTGAATTTACAAATGCAACGAATATGCGAATGCAAGAGAGAGAGAGAGAGAGAGTATTTCCAAGTAAACATGAAATTAAAATGTATTTAAGGAGCTAAGGAGCAAATGAATTTTTTTTAGCTCCGCTCCAGTCGAAATCCTTGGCTCCTTAGCTCCTTGCTCCTTTACTCCGCTCTGCACGGCTCCGAAGCCCGGCCCACAACGTCAACTTTACTAATAACGAAACGAAATTGCTAACGATACGTTAAGGCTCATTTACACTTATCGCTTTCGTTTCCACCAAAGTGTGCAACAAAAGTGAACGATGAAACATATTGACTCCCTAGCAAAATGAAAAATTTTTTATTTGTACTTACTATGCACTTACTGCATTCACAGCTCGTTCTGAGATGTTCACTCCCGCAGTACTTGAATCATTGATGATTTTCATGGTGGTTGAATTATCAATTGCAGTTGTTGTGATTGTCGTTGATGTTATTGTTGTTGATGCTGCTGCATTTGGAGTACTAACTGAAACCTCCTCGCTTTGAATTGTACTGACAGCAGTTGTCCATTCATATGACTCATCTGCGAAATCTACATTACTCAAAATCAACAGCAATACAAAGCCGATGAGCAAGATTATGACCGTATATTTCATCAAGCTATGTGAATTGAGGATAATAAAATATGTATGTATGTACATGCAAGCTCGAAAGAAAGTAAAACAGTTTAAAAATTGCAAATCTTACCAAATTCTTTTGGACGAACTTATGAGTTTGCGTTCTCGCAGCTTTGTGTTTTGTTCGTCATTTAGGTGAAAGGTTTTCGTTTTATACATTTTATCAAAGCACAAACTAATAGAACGAATGCATATACAAATGTATGCATGTATGTATGTATATCCATGCAAATACCCAAAATTTTGTAGTAAATTAACGCTTTTACATAGATATTAGCGCTTTTTCGAGTTTAGGTGGCAATTATGCGTACATGTTATCCACTCAACAATTCTCAATTAACTGTTTTACCCCTTTTGAGATTCATTTATCACTTCATCGATTTGTGATGGCTAAATACGTTTTGTATTTAATTTATTTAGTAAATAATTAAATCCCATTTGCTTATCAGTAGCTATGGTAATAAAATCGCGTTTACATACTTGGTTTGATAAGGCAAAGGGCTTAATCAAGTTCCCTGAATTTGTGAACGTACATATGTAAGCATACTAATGGGCACCATTTAATGTAAATATAAATGCCTACCCTGTAGGGACCATGATTAGTTGGCGTTAGCCCCTGTTGGGATTTCGACATAACTGTCACGGGCATAATTTCCATTCCATGGAAGTGAAATTATTACCATCGATCGATTTTTGGTCCATGGCAGTAAAGTCTGACATTACTTACACAGATCTGATTCACTTAAAAAAGAATATCTTAAATTTTAAATTAGGTATTTTCGCTTGTAACTTTTTTGAAATATGGTCAATTTTCCGAAAGTCAAGACGGTCTATATGAGATGCTCTTCGACGGGATTCTGAAATCGATAAGGCCTCCAAGTTCTTGTTAGCAGACCGAAACAAATATCGAAAAACTTTTAT